TATTTGAAAATCTGGAATCTGAGAGTGCAAAACAATCAAAATATTGAGAAAATCGCCTTTAAAGTTGTCCAAGTGAAGTTCTTAGCAATGCATATTACTAATCAAAAATGAAGTTTTGATATATTTACGGTAGGAAATTTACTAAATATCTTCATGGAACATGATCTTTACTTAATATCCTAATGATTTTTGGCATAAAAGAAAAATCGATCATTTTGACCCATACAATGTATTTTTGGCTATTGCTACAAATATACTCATGCTACTTAAGACTGGTTTTGTGATCCAAGGTCACAAATAGCAACAGTTTTTTTTTCCCCCACATTGCGAGGTCCATCCAAGTTTAACAGATTATCGAAAAAGAAAAAAATGCAAGGCCGGACTTTGTTCTATGCATCGGTTTTTGATTGGATTTTGAGATGTTGGCATTGCGCTGGAGACGGATGAATGTGAGCTTGCAGGGGTGGAGGTTAAGTGGACTAAATGATTAGAGAAGTCCTGCATGCATCACCGCTGAGAAGTCTGACGTTTTCTTAAGATAATCTTAAGGACATCTAAGTGAACTCAACTGTGCTATTTTGAGATACCATGAATATGAACTTTGTATGAAAGGTTTGTATGGTAACTAAATACATTTTTTTAATACAGATATAGTATGTTAAAAGCCCATTTTAGTTCATATACATGGTGTCTCAAAATAGCACAGTTGAGTACACGTAGATGTTCTTAAGATTATCTTAAAAAGTACTAAAGAATAGTTTTTAGTATATTAATTAGTGCATGAAATAGAGCACTTTAAGTACATTAATGAGTGTCCAGTAATGATATTTTAAATTACTGACATTTATGATAAAAATTTAACATATATGCATGGATGAATCGTAAACATGCATTTAAGCAATAAAAGTCATGCTGAAATTTTGTTGTGCCACCCCAGAGTTCAACTACGTCTCCTGGACGAAAAGCCAATCACACAGACCGAGAATCATGGCCATCAAGCTCAAGTAGGTCACTTCAGTGTTATTCTGCTATTCTATAGAAATTCATGCAGGGTCCCACTTTTTAGACCAATGAATGACTTTTCTGTAACCTTTCTAGTCGTTTGTGATTGTTGGATTTAAAAATCATTCACATTCAAACTGAATTATTCTGCTCTATCTGTGAACCAATTCACTGAAAAGAACTGACTCAAAGGAACGATTTGCTCACATATTGAACATGCAATTTTTTCTACAGAGGAGCAATATATATATATTCACTTTTGATTCACACCAATTTCCATTACTTAAACGCAGTGGCGGGCCGTGCATTTTACACCTAGGCCTTCAGTGGCGTCCTACATGAATTAATCCATCTCTTCATACCATCATGATGCCACGGCTATAGAAACCATAAATATTACACAGTAATGCAGTATAACAGGGCACTACATAACAGATAGGTATCTTATGTAGCGAGAATGAATGCCATTACTAAAGAAAGAAACCCAATTAACAATTGCGCAACACATCATCTGTAGCTGAAGCATTAACCTAACAAAATGACACAAATACAGTCCATCCGATGTTCTTACAGACATTTATTCACCCAAACGCATTTATACCTTACAGATAGCATTGGTATAAAACAAATAAGGTGATTACATGTGTTTTAAAGTTGACCTAACAATTTAATGTTCTCTTACTGCTTTATTTAGTCTTCACGAGTCTCCCGCCGGTCTGTCAGCGCGCTGAGGGAGGAAAATACTGGTTAGCACAGCTTTACTAGGAAAGTGAGCAAGTAACATTAAAATAATTCATACAAGACGATGAAGAAAAGTGTATACATGTGTTTTAACGTACCTCTGTGACTCTCATCTCCCCGCTGGTCTGCCTCTGCCAGCGGAGCGGCGCTGCGGCCGGGGGAAAAGACCGGTTAATACAGCTCCACTCGGGAAACTGAGATATTCTTACGGAAACTTAAACCTGGCTTTATATCGCGCAAATAACATCAGCCATTAATTTAAGCTAACAGACGCCTGCAATGTTGATTCTGAAGGCCTTAAGGCAGATTTCTTTGACCCTGGCAACACGATTGCTGAAATATGATTGGATAAAAGCTCTAATATAAACATACACTGCTGGAAGCAGTGCAACCAAGAGAAAAGCTATGAAATGAAGAGAATAGACTATTGGAAATAATTTAATACACATTCATGGAAAAATATATTAAACTAAATCAGTGATTCTGATAGTGTTTAGGCCAGCAGGGAAGGCTTTGCTGGCCCTGACGGCCCACCACTGCTTAAACGGTTGTTTTCTTTTTTCCAGAGAAGGCTCATTCTCACAGTAGCCCTGTTCTTAGTGCAGCAGCCTCAACCAAAGTACTCTACTACACAGATCGCACTCTCACACCCTTCCTGGTCAACATCCCTAAGAGGTGACAGAAATAATGACATTATAGCATCATCTTATAGAGACTGAATCCACAGGTCTCCTCATCTAAATATGAACTATTTATTGGCAGGCTGGGGGAGGTCACGCTACAGGATTTCAAGGTGGCTGTGGACAGACATGGCAGTTTCAGATATCACTTCAAATCTCTGGATCCAGAGTTTGGAACAGTGAAGGAAGAGGTGAAAATCACAACCAATCAGGAGTAATTCAATATTCCAAACTTAAAAGTAGCAATTGCTCAGGGTCTTTCTCTAAATGTGTGTGACGTCTTTCAGGTGTTTCAGGACGATGCTGTTATTCCTGGATGGGAAGGGAAGATTGTCGCATGGGTGGAGGAGGATCACGGAGAGGGGAGATAGAGCATGAGGGTTTGATCCATTCAGAATGTATGTTTTACCCTACATATACCCCATCCCTGCAAAACTCTGAAGCCTTTGTCCTGTCCTAACTGTGAATCTCACTGAACCAGTTCACTATGTCATTACAGCAGGCCAGTGTACAGTCAGTGTACAGCAGGCTAAAATAGGGTATATGCATTTTTAAGAATGAAAGAAGAATGAATTTTTAACTTTATTAAAAAATGGTTTACAGCTAAATACTGATGTTTTTGAGTGCACTGAGGTTATGGTACAGTTTGTTTTCCAGAATCTAGTGTTTCAGCATTGCCATTGTGATAAGTGATCATGAAAAGAAGATTATTTAAAACTTGTATTTGTCTTGTGCAGTGACAAATAATAAACATGTTGCATTAGTTGCCAAACTTTGACAAGCATATCACACATTGTGTGCATGTATTGTCCTGCCAGAAAAAGGCCATTTTAAGAAAACATATCATCAAAAATGTCCGCACATTCACGGTAATATATTTTTCACAAAAATGTATTAACCTTTCTTGACTATCTTTGAAAATAAGGGGTGGTAAAAGCTTTGTTTGTAAACATTTGTAACATTTGAACATATTGAAATATTCCTTTTGAAAATGATTGTACTTTTCCTATCAAGTTTGCATGTCTGTTCATAGTGTTTGGTATCTGTGTTGTAAATGCAAATGCAGTTGACACTTGTCCACCTTTTATTAAAGGCTTTCTGTGCACAGGTGGAGGCTTTTTTGTGTATTCAATTTTCTAAAATCTCAGCAATGCACAATATATCTGTGTTATATTGATTATTTGCTGATATTGATATTGATATTATTGATTTTTTTTCTAAACTAAACTAAATGTAATCTTCAGCAAATCTAAGAATGAATATCCATTGTTCATACTGTACTTTATAATGTTATGTCTAAATTCACTTTAAAATGAGAGATTTTAGTTTTTAATGTTCTATTTTTAAATTATTTAAACAAAATAATACAGAATTTTAACATCAAATAATTATTAAAATTAATAATCATTTTATTTTAACAGCAATAACATGAAATAATTATTGGCTTAAGAATTTATTTTGGTGCATCCCTACATAATCTCTATAACAGTCTTATAGTTTCAAGAACAGATGTCTGTCTGTGAATAAAATATACCTGTTGAGGCCCAAAATGATGTATGTAATTATTGATGTAACCGTGAATTTCATTGCATGATTAATGATCTTGGAGACAAAAGTCGGTAATACAACTATAGTGTTTATATTTTCAGTTTCTGGATAAATAAGAGTTAAGTGTTCTCATTACACAGTCACTGTAACATTTAGAGTCTGTTTCTTCTTATTAAACGTTGCCGTGCATGTGTCCTCCTTGACCAACTCAGGAAACTGAAGATGAAGATAATAAAGGTCTTCTACTTCCAGGAGAATATCATCCTAAATAATAAAAACCAACCCCTTATTGAGTTCACAACATTAATAAAACCCATATAAGGTCTGTGCAAAGGTTAAACCAGAACTGTGGAAAATTCAATTTATAAAATAAAAAGGGCAACAGTTTTGTAATTAAAACTTCACCCCACACAGTTGACGTACTGGTGATACTGACCCGAGAGATGCTGAGCCGGCACTGTGACACGGATCTCACCCCAGAAAGCTCAACACTCAGCTGCAGGCTCCTAGATGAGCCGCTGCCATCAGGACAAACTGTGAGACGATGCTTGGGCTGTTGTGGCTGCGATTGGTCTGATTCTGTGCTGGAGATCACCTCAATGAGACCTGATCGGGCTGGTTTCTTCTCCTGCTCTGTGTTCAGCTGGATGGTTGAGTCCTCATTACTCTCAGCCAGCCGCAGTGAGGAGATCTGCTGCGGGAGTGATGAGGCTACACAAAGAGAGGTAGAATCACTCAATATTGCACTGCAATCCTCAAAATCACTTCATTTGCATTCCAGCAGGTTCATAACGAGGTTCTATACAATTCGCTAATCTCAGTAGCTCTTAAAACCTGTAAGATAAAGCCCAAACTGTCACTGTGTTTCATGGGCAGTTTACCTGGTTCAGAATGTGGGTTTTTGGAGCTCAGAGCAAGTAGGCGAAGCTTCTGTTTCTCATGTTTGTCTTTCTCTGTCGTCTGCAGAACTTCAGGGTTGAAGGCAACATCAACAACACTGTATTGCTCTGTAAAACACGCAGGAGATCAGACTGTCTCAATATAAGGTGTTTAACAATCAAGTCTAAGGAGATAGGAAGTTAATCAGTGAGAAAATCAAGTAGGTTAGTTGGTGAGTTACTTGGATTGGAATACAAGACTATGAACCAGTGAATAATGGAACAAATGTCACCTAAAAAGTGAGTGTTTTAGTTAGAAAGAAAATAGTTTGAAAGCATTTAATAATTTTAATTGTTAAGGATGAGATGGCATTTTTGTACCATTTTCCTCAGTCACTGTCTCCATTCGTCCTCCACACACAGGAACTGGATCACTGTAAGAAGTGGGCGCTGGTACACGTTTCCAACCGCACATGTTAATGTACAATATTCCTTCCTTTGATCCCTGAAAAAGTAATCAGAGAGAAAGTCCTTTTTAGATTTCTACATCATACTCAGAAATTATTATTTCAAACTAGTTGTACATGCCAGCCATTTTCTGTGCCACCATGGTTCAGTGATGGTATCAGAAGCTAACACCATGGTACTAAATAATTATCATTCATGTAGCTTTTCATGGAACTTAAATGCACTTCCTTCCAGGAATTTCATGCAATTATATTAAAGGGGTCATATGATGCAATTTCATTTTTTCCTTTCTCTTTGGAGTGTTACAAGCTCTTGGTGCATATAGAAGATCTGTAAAGTTGCAAAGACTAAAGTCTCAAATCCAAAGAGATATTCTTTATAAAAGTTAAGAGTCAGCCACACCCCCCTAAAACGGCTCGTTCGAACACGCCCCCACATATCTACCTAACTGTGTGGGAAGATTTGCATAACGCCACACAAATGTTCACGCAAAGAAAGAAGGCATAACTTTTATTCTCACTGTAGTATTGTTGCCGCCGTCGCAATGTTGTGGAGATGCTGTGTGTTTCATTGTGAAAGCGAAACTACTTTGTTTGGTCTTCCAAAAGAGAACGATATCCGCTTCGTCATGCCTGGAGCTGATCCGTGCTGGTCGCTGAGGAAATACATCAACTTAGTGCTGTGGATCGCCGGAGCGGCTTTCACCGTTTTCACCGCTCCTTCATCGGATCCGCCGGGACCGCCGTTCTCGACCCCGCCGCCTCAGCTCACTCTAGCCCGGCCTCAGCTCACGCTA